GTGCTTTTCTTGCAACTGTTATTTCCTTCACTGGACGAGCTTCGATTTCTGCACATGAAACCAACAGCCACGTCATCATAACAAACACCGACAACTTCAAAAACCTAGTCATTTTGTGTGTGTGTGTGTGTGTGTGTGTGTGTGTGTGTGTGTGTGTGTGTGTGTGTGTGTGTGTGTATAATATATGTACATATATATATTTTATGCTCTATTTATAAGCCTGTCATATTATTTAAAACTCTGCAATCTTTGTAATGTGATTTTGGTGAGTACCACTCCAAGTAAATATGTGTATATGATTATCTGATTTTTGTAAATTTTCACTTTATTTTGTAATATGATTATCTGATTTTTGTAAATTATGACTTTATTTTGTAATATGAGTATTTGATTTTAAATAAGATTAACTGAAATTTTTTAGGTGTAATTTTATGTCAAAAATTAATTAGAAATTAATACATAGATTAAAGATTAGTCACTGTAATAATATTTATTTTAATTTATAATTTAGAGAAAATCAACACTTTTTATAAAGTTACAAAAATTTGTTTTTTTACTTCTTTTCTACAATTATACATTTTGTTGTAAAATTATAATCGTTCATATACTCAAAAAATTGAATTTAGCAGCATCAGTCCCGTAGCTCAGTTGGTTAGAGCGTTGGTCTTATGAGCCGAAGGTCGCGGGTTCGAGCCCCGCCGGGACTAATTCTTTAAATGCTATAAGTATTTTATAATTATTTTTTTACCCAATTATTTACTAAATTTGCAATTTTTGTGTGTTTTATTATTCGAAAAAATAAATAATCAGTTTTTAATTAATCATAATTAGTCCCGTAGCTCAGTTGGTTAGAGCGTTGGTCTTATGAGCCGAAGGTCGCGGGTTCGAGCCCCGCCGGGACTAATTTATTGTAAATTAAAATGAAAATAATTTATTTTAAAAAAATTGCAAAATTATGTATTTTATTTGCCAGTTCATTGTTTCCATTTCTTTTTTGTACTAATTAATGTTATATTTATAGTTTGTATACAATCACCAAATATAAATATCAACAATCAACACACCACATAAATGCATACTTCAAATAAGTATAAATATTCAACAATAACTAGCAAAGAAATTACCAAAATGGAGTAATAATAATAACTGAATGCATATAGGGTTTCTGCCTCAGGTTCCATAATGATTTTATTCCTTTTGCATAGTCTAAAACTGAATTATTTCTACTTTGTACAATTTATTGCATTATACTTTCCACTTGTCTGAAAATCCCTACCCCAAAATATTCATCTCATTTAACTCTGCTCTCTGTCTGCAGTTGTTACACCATTAACTCAATTCTGCTGTTACACAATCAATTCATTTATTTTATTTAAGGCACTTTGTGTTTTTAAGAACCAATGTGCTAAAACTTCAATTCCAAACCTAATTTTGCTAATCTTCAATTATGACAATAATATTTAAGTTATATATCGTTTAATTTGCTATATATAAGTTTTCCGTCGTACAATTTCCGAGATTTTTTCTGATTATTTCACCATGTGCAGTTCAACGGGTTCAAGAAATTAAACCACGCCCATAAACAGTTATCACCGTAGATTTTGTAGATGTTACATCTGATCTTATGGTATTTGTATTTAATTTAACGCAACCATACATAGGGGTTTAAATCGAACGGATGCGATCGGAATTTAGCCATTTCAGAAATAAAATTGATTATTTTTTTCTGAAATGAAAAACTAGTCCCTATTCCGTTTCCAACAAATCATAAATCATAATTTCGAAAATTGGAACGATAAAACTTGTTCCAAAATCGAAAAAATTTGGGTCGGAATCGGCGGAATTCGGAAATTTTCAATTTTGACTCGCTTAAATATAAAATACATATAACGTAACATTGGTATTTAATTGTAATATAATGTGATATATATACTCCATATAATTGAGTCCATTTATTGTGAGAAATTGGTACAAATGGATCCAATAATTGCACACTCTTCTTCCTCTTTAAAAAGTTTCGCCATTGAAATCATCACATGGGAGCCAATACTATACATCTTTCCAATTTGCATGTGCCCATAGAACCCTAAAAATGGAATTAATTCCACTGATAAATAAAGCTGACAGCTCATCAACCATAGATGCATTTTTTCATTAATAAATAAATATATAATGCCTTTTATTCTTGTTAGATGTTTTAATATATATCTAATTAATTAACTCTCCTAAACATGTAACAACATCATGTAATGTAACATGTTTGCTAAAACCAAGATTGTTTTCTGTTTGTTTTTTTTCTTGAAAAGTATCACATGCATGAAAAGTTCCCTTTATACTATTTAATGATTGATGGGTTGAAAAAATATTAAGGGTAAATTACGGTCAACCCTTCAGTTAAAGTCAAATTACGAAAAAAAACCCTTCATAGCTACCATTACTCTTTAACTATGAATATTTTTACATATTCACTCTTGCAGTGTCAAATTTAGTGAAATCTTTTAGATTATATGGAATATTTTTCAGTTTTCTCCGGAAAATAATCAAGAAATTAGCCATAAACGGTAACATGAAACGAAATTCTTACAAACTTAACGAAGGTGGAATTCATGATATTACAAGAAAATGGAGGAGAAATGTGCTTATATTAATTATATCGATCGAACGTACATACAATATTACGTTGAATGTGCAAGAATTCAACGAAAAAAAAGAAATTTAAATAATGCAGAAAAAGGAGCTACTGAAAAATGGAATTAATTATATTGTAATTATTATTTTCATCATCTTTTAGTAATGTTGCAGCAGCTGTGATACTTGATAGTTCATCGGAAAACCCGAACACCGGAAAATGCGGGATGATCGGAGAATAATTAACGACACTGGACTGAAGGGGTTCCCTATGGCAAAAGATTGGCTGCGCCTGGAAATTTGTTTCCATTAATGTAATATTTCCAGCGTCACAATAATTCCAAGCTTTTATAACTTTCTGCAGCCTTTCGATTTCCGAGCTGTTATTTTCCGTTATCTCCGGACACGTGTCGGTTGTTAATAAGCCAGAGCAAAATCCCTGCCCGAAACCAGGGTAATGAAACGGGTCATAACCCTGACCCGGTTCGACCTGCAAAATTTTACTAAAACCTGAACCGGGTTTATTATCATCATTCAAGATCAATTGAGCTTCGCCATTTGCAGATGGCGGCGGCTGATGTATTAGCTCATGATCGTCTAGGGCATCAATGGCGGATTTAGCTTCCTTGATCAACCAATCAATGGCTTTACTGGGCCGGTCGTAGCCGAGCCGGTCCTGCACATCGTAGAACTGAATCGCTGTTATCGGAGAAAGTCTCAGCCGCCGGTCTCGCGGCCCCCTCGCGGTGGACACTTTGCTGTGCTTGTCTTTTCCGACCACGGCGGCCCGAACTAGCCGGCCGCCTCGGTGGACTTTTCCAATTAACCGATCTTCCGCTTTTCTCTTCTTTGGTTTCGTTAGTGATGCGAAATCGAAACCCTCCTCCATTGTCGAACTCGCTACTGATTTCTGTCCGAAATGCTGGTTGTAATAATTATTGCACAAAGTTTCTTGACCATGCAATTCGTCCAGTTCTTGGAGATTGTTATAATTGGGAGGAAACATGCTTTAAAATTATTTTCTTCTTCTTCTTTCTCTTTTATATATATATATATATATATATATATATATATATATATATATATATATATATATATATATATATATATATATGAAAAAAAAGTAATTATTACATGCTTCTCAATTATTATAGATATAGTACTGGGTAGTGGTGGAAACAATTTTAATTGTGATGATTAAATGATACTGCTGCAAAATCTCTCATGCATGCATGCCTGTTTGTACAATGTATAATTATATCACTACTGTTTGTACAATGTACTACATATATCACATATGTAGCAACCATAAATAATTGACCCACTTAAAAAAAAATATATACATATATGACAATGATAAAATTATAAGATGTAAATAAAATAGTAAAATACAATAAATTAATTGCATAATAAATCAAAGAAGGAAAAATGCATATAATATAATATATAGAACCGTGGCTACTGCAGTGATATACTTGTCATGCAGAAAGGGAAAAGACATGAATTGTTGTGGGAGTGGGACCCTCCTCAGCTGCAGGAACAGCTGCTTCCTGCATGCGTGCATGCATATATCTCCTTTGCATGTGTTACTCTTCTTTACCTTTATCCCGGATTTTCGGTTATTTAAATCGGGTGATTGTGAACCGTAGATCTGCACGTAAGCATTGTGTTTTACTGATCGAGTGGTTATTTTATATAACCTCATCTACAGCTAATAAGCACCCGACGGTCACTGATCATCACTCGTATTTACACGCATTTGTTAATATCTAATACAAAATTAACCGATTTTCTCATTAAAATGCGGCATTAGTAATTTTAATTTGGTACAAAAAGACAGAAAGATATTTTGAAAAAAGTTGAACTTGAAAGGACTGAGGAGATCTAGTCTAGAGAGAGAAGCATGTGGAGGAACCCACTTTGTAATTTGTATGATTAATCGTCCTATTTTGCTTTGTCAAATAAGCCCAATTTTTTACTCAAATTACATATTTGGCCCGGACACCCGATAACTTATTTCGTTTTGAGGTACACATGAAAATGTTTTAATGTTAATTAATTAGGTGTATTTTGCAGGCTAAATTGCATTGTGCACCCTAATATACGACCCTTTTGGCCGAGTTCGCGCCAAAATTTTGAAAATATATTTTCGCCAAGAGTGTCATTTTTACTCCTAGAATTTTAAATTAAAAATAAAAATTGCAAGTGATTAATATTTTTTATGTAGCCTTGGAAAATGTTAGAAAAATAGGTATATTCAACTTCAAGTGTCAACTTTGGGTGCAAAAGGGCAAGTTAATTTCAATGTGAGGGACTGAGGGTGCAAAATAACCTTTTTTAATTGTTGGGGCTTATTTAGTCAAAATGGTCATACGTTGGGTGCAAAACGGCAAGTTAATTTCAGTGTGAGGGACTGAGGGTGCAAAATAACCTTTTTCTAATTGTTAGGGATTATTTAGCCAAAATGGTCATACTTTGAGGTGCGAAATGTAATTTAGCATATTTTAGGAGTAGTTTCATAATACATCGTTGACCAGCAGTCGTCTCTTTGTTTTGCTTACCGAATCAGAAATCCGGAAACCATGAATTCCGACAGTTTCAGAAGATCGGAAAACCTCGTCGAATTAGCCCAACGCCTCCGCCTCAATAAACCCAACCCTAATTTCGAAATTGAAGATTCCGGCGCCGAACTGTTTCCTCGATTCGAAACCAGACCCACTAGAGCTGCCGTTTTGATCTGTTTGTTCGAAGATGAAAATGGCGATCTTCGCGTCATTCTTACCAAAAGATCTTCAACAATGTCCTCTCACTCCGGTACGATGTTGTATTAATTGCTGTATTTTTTATTTTTATTTTCTTTTTTTGATAAATTATGAAAACCTCCCTGAACTTAGACTAAATAACAAAATATACCCCACCTATCTGAAATAACTAAAATCCCCCTGATTAACTGTTGATCGAGTTTTTTTTTTGTTAAATAGGGGAGAAATAAAAGAAAATATCTAAAATTGTGTAAATTCTCTTCCCTAATACAAACAAAAATTCGTGAAAAAAGTTATACCGTAAGGGGTTGGTGTAAGACGAAAACAAACCTCAGAGTTTTTTTGGTAATTATGAATTGGTGGAGGTGGTTTTTGTAATTTAATCTTAGTTTAGGGGGTTTTGTAATTTACCTTATTTTTACAGATATTTTGAGATGATAAAATTTTCAGGTGAAGTAGCTTTGCCCGGCGGGAAGAGAGACGACGGCGATGAAAATGATGCTGAGACGGCTTTGAGGGAAGCTAAGGAGGAAATTGGATTGGAAGCTTCTGCTGTCGAGGTTGTTACTGTTCTTGAACCTTTTCACACTAAGGTAATCCGTTTTCGGAAGATTCCGATCAGAAATTTTCCGATTTTGGAAAAATATATTTCATTCCGAAATTTCGATTTCCGATTTTTCTGATTCTTTTTGTTTTTTCTTGGAATTGAAAAAAATATGAGATTCCTATTTTTCAATTTCCGAAAATTCCGATTTTTTTTTCTCGAAATGTACACTTACAAAGTTACAATATTGATATTATTATGTATTTTGTATGCTTGGTGACTAAAAATTGGAGTTTTCCGAACTCGGTCGATATCCGATTTTGGAACAATTCCAATTTCCGATTTTTCCAATTTTTTTGTGGAACGGAATTCGAAGTAGTTTTTCACTTCCAAAAAAAATGGATTTTTAAAAAAAGTGCTAATTCCAATCCTATCAGTCCGATTTCCACCCCTAATAAGAATCGAACATCTTACCAACTCACTTATTAATTAGCCAGTAGAGAATTAATCCAGTGTAATCTTCTAATCCAAATTAATTTGATGTATGCAACCGAACAAGGCATAATTATTTTGGCATCCTAAGATCTAGAACATTCCAAGTTTCTTTGCAGCGAAACATTACCGTTTTTCCTGTGATCGGAATTATTTGGGACAAGAGTGCCTTCAACCCTGTCCTAAATGCTGCTGAGGTGGAATCGATATTCGACGCTCCATTACTAATGTTTCTCAAGGTTCGTTTTTCTCTAACTAATTAGTTTATTTTCATGCATTTTCACTAATCTTTAAGCTGCAAACTAAATACACCAACACTCGTTCAAACATTTTAGGACGAAAATCGAAGACAAGAGGAACGAGAATTTATGGGCTGTAAATATTTACTCCATTTCTTCGATCACAAGGCTCGTAACGAATCGTATGTTATTTGGGCACTTACTGCCGGAATTTTAATCAAAGCTGCATCAGTCGTTTATCAACTGCCACCTGCTTTCGAAACTCGTATGCCTCCGTTTTGGAACAGAAAATAATAGCCAATGAATTATCAGTCGAGATTTGTCGTTGAGAAATACAATTTGAATATTGCGTAATAAAATAAATATTTCTTGTTTACGTGTTGAATATACACATAGCACACGTGTTGAATATACACATAGCACACGCGCGCACACACACACACACTAGACAACACTGAGAACTTCATGAATAACAAATGTCGACGGAGGGTAGTATCGTCTTTTTTTTAGGACCATCCAAGAACGGTAGTAAGAATATAGACAGTTGCTAGAGAAATCGGGTATAGAGACACCAATATATATCCGATCCAGCGAGGAAATGTGGTGTAGATGCTCGTAAATACACTCATAACCGTGCAGATTATTAGAACCAAAAGAACTTCTGCACACACATTCGTCGACAAATTACGCACGTACACTGGAGCAAGGAACACTATTAGACCTATAATATTGTTCATGTACACTCCAGCATATAACTGTTCAAAAAAAAAATCAGTATTTAATGGGTCGTGCGCTAAAAAAAAACATCGTCAGTGGTGTTTTTAGCAATTCAATATAATACAGGGGTATTGAATGTAATAAACACGAATATGTACCGAAGAGAGTGTCAAAGAAATGGATATCTGTGTCTTCTGTCTGGCTGAAGCAATTGACTGAATTGCCACTCCGTAATTCATAGCAAAGGGTATAGCCAAATACGAAACGGAGAATGTCGAAAAATTTGCAGCTATAGAAAAATCTACAACCGATCTGATTAAAGGCTCGGAAAATGCGCATAAAATTAAAATACCGAAAATCACGAAGAAACCAGCTCTTAAATAATTCGACCAAGAATTCGTAGGAGCCGTTTGGCTTGTGCTCGTGCTAGTCGAAATCAACCCCTGTTTCGATTTTTGGAAATGTCAGTTTTTTTTTTTATAATTATTATTACATTTACACATACGCTTTTATTTAATTTTACCTGAGAATTGGTAGTTCCGTTTGTTGTAGTGATTTGTGACGAAGTTTGATTGGATAAATCGGAAACTAATTTTGTCATGCCATTGGTGAATTCGTCTTGATTGATAACTCCGTCGCTCGAGGTATCGAAAGATGCCATTATCATGCCTACGTCGCGCTCCGTGCTTTTATCATCATTTATGTCCATTTTTACCCCTAGGAGCAAACCTCTGACCTCTGCTGTCGATACTGTTGCGTCGGCGTTCTTGTTGATTTTGTTAAATAGCCTGTCGAATATTATTTATTATAGAACCGAATAAATAAATGCCCCGAAAAAGAAAAAAAAAAAACAGCGGGAGTTACACTAGTATTTTATTAGGATCGGTTTTGCCGTTTGTCGTAATAAGTGTCAATAGCTTGTCTTGGCCATATTTGGTGACCACAAACTGGAAGCATCTATTTTGTATCCATGGCTGGAATATCTGCATCACAAGAAATGAAATTTTCACGAAAAATAATTCGAGTTTATTGCATTTACTACCCCTGTGTTGTACCGAATTACTAAAAAACTCCCCTATGATGCATTTTTTTTGGCACACAATCTCCTAAATAGTGCGCTTTTAGGGGGTAGTTTGCTAATAAAATTGGACCATAGGGGAGTTTTTTAACAATTAAACTAAACACATGGGTGCTGAATGCAATAAATTAAACCTGAAAGAATGCTAATGAAGTGATGAAGTGATGTTTACCTGATAGATAATATAAGCAATTAGCAAAGTAACTGATACGATTAGCGCAATAAGAATAGTGACTCGTTTCCCCGTAGAAGAATTGAAAATTAACGCAAACACGAGAACGAGAAACGGGATCAAACTTATCAACATTATCCGTGCGATGTAGCTAGTTTCGACATCCGTAACAACGCCAGAGCCTGTGGAAAGCGAAAACAAATTAAATTACCAAAAAAATTAATAAAACTAATTTATTTTGAGAAAATAATACCTTTTGGAGTGCTATTCTTCGGTGTTCCGGAACTATCAGTAGTAGTAGTTGCAGTAGTAGTAGACGATTGCGAGAGATCAGAACTTCCAAGAATTACAGAAGTACCCCAAATCAAAGTAAGAAGCATCACTGTAGTCCCTGCTACAAGTCCCATTCCTAATGTGGCCCTTTGTTGAGCAGCAGCAATTGTTCCCGAAAGTGCAGATACTTTATTTAAAAATAAAAAAAACATTAATTTAGTGTCACATTATTTGCAATAATTTAATGCTAACATTAATTTTCAATTTTTTATTTTGAGATCCATATATATATAGAACTCAATGATTAATCACTGATTTCTTAATTTACATTGGGGGTATAATGAATCTCTTTATATAATATTCCATGGATCTTGGAGAGATTATTGAATAGATTATAGAATCCTAATTATTAATTAGAAAACTGAATTAAAATAGATGCAATTAAATAATTCATCCATGCAATTAAACCCTAGATTCTCAAGTCATAGGTAATCCTTTAGTTTCCCCCAAATTTTGTTCACTTAAAACAAATTGTAAAATGAATTTGAAATCCACTACAACGACTCGACAAATAACCTAAAACGAGAGCTAAATTTTTTTAACTTCGTTGCAAAGTAGATTTGTTCAAACGAGTTCGACGAATCAATTATTGTAGATTTAAAATTCATCGCTTCAAATCCTTGAATCCCTCAATTTTTTTCTTCTTTTAAGGCAAATTGCATAATGCATCGTAGACGTTCGAAAATTGTACGATACGGTCCCGTTGTGACATATGAATATTATGAATGACTTATTCCAATTGGAAAATACATAAATATTCGGATGAATGTTTCCTTCTTCGTTAAGTCAGTTAATTAAATTAATCCAAACAAAAATAAATCAGTTAACGCGATAGCACGACGAAGAAACGAACTTTTAAAAAAAACTCGCGTTTTCGCACTACGAAAAAAGTTATAAAAATTTACCAAGAACCATGACAACTTGCGGGATTGTGCCGAGAAGCTGAAACAAGCTGCCACCGAACACGCCGGGCCCGGTAATCTGGAAGAACAGAGTCGAACCGTTGACCACGTACTGCCCTCCAATCGAAAGCAAGATCTCGTAAACCACAATCAGAAACAGCAAACCCCAGAGATTGGTGGAGCACGGTAAGAACCCGTATATCGGATCGCAGGTGGTCTCGGCCGCCGAGAGTCCCCATTCCAAAAAAGACGGAGCGCTAGTACTGCTGCTGCGACGGCCGCAATCGTCTACACCGTCGCACAACAAGCCGTCGTCCGTGTTCCCCGTGATGATCGGACGGCTGTAAGCTAGCTGACTCACCACCAGTACGGAAAGAAGCATAAAGATGGCGAAGGAGAATCTTTTCATCGTGGCCGTTTGATATTAACACAAGTGAGAGAGAGAGAGAGATGATGATGATGAAGAGCAGAGGATATAAGGTGGTTTTCCTGTAAATATGTATTGACCTTAACAGGAACACCTTACGTACGATAACCAATCAAAACGTAATAGTTGTTATATAATAGGATCAATTTGCAATTATTAGAAAGAGAGTTTTTTCCTTTTTTTTTTTTAATAATAATAAGCTGTTAAATTAGCAGCCGGGGGAAGGTGGAGTAATCATTAATCATGTCATTTCTTGAAAACGAAATCACCTACTCCCATTCATACTCATTTTCAGGAGTCAGTACCCCAATTATTGTATAATAACAACTTAGTCCAATATTTAATGGATGAATAGCACTTAGCTCCCTAATGTTTGAGTTTTGTGCACATGACTCCTTGTACTTTCAATATAAGCGCATGATCCTCCTGTAATTTGAACTTTGGTACTATACAACCGCTAAAAAAAAAATCGTGTTGTTAAGATTAGCAAAATGAGGAATTTTTAGAGGCGGTTTGTTAATAAAAACGAATTAGGTGGGTGGTGTAGTTAATAAAATAATAACGAGAGATTTCCTAACAATTAGAATAAACATGTATGTATGTATATATATATATATATATATATATATATATATATATATATATATATATATATATATATATATACAACAGTTGAATGCAAGAAATCCATAATTACGATATTTAATTAGATATATTAATTAGGGCCCTTTTGGTTCGTGGGATAAGGGGTGATTGACAGATTAGTCACCCCTAATCCCGTGTTTGGTTCGAGTGACAGAAACCCGTTATTGACACAGGGCCCGGTATTCAATCACCCAAATGGGTGATAACTTGTCCCACCTCAATAGGTGTGACTAAATTATCCAGGAAGGATTAGTTTTGTGTAAGTACAAAAAAGCCCCCCATTCATAGAAAAATTACAACTTAGCTGTGTATAAAAGCTAAAAAATCCCTCTTTCTCAGATCAACAAAAACGTGAATGTGCCCTAAGGCCTCTCAAGGTTTTCTTTTTCTTCCTCTTCTTTGCTTTTAATTTTTTTCTGTGAAGAATCAAGAACAATTTTTATGTGCTAATTAAAGAAAAGGGGAATAAGAGCCGTAATTTTTACTCGTCATCGATGGACTTCTAATTTTGGAAGCAAATACGTTATACAGGGATTTGCATTCCTCATTGTTATCTCTGGCGGGAAGATTCGTTGGAGCTCAACAAACTTTGTGAAGTCGTGAAAGTTTCTTCCCGGAAATATGTTTATCGGCGACGAATTTCAAGCCGGTGTGTTGAATTTTCCCAAATTTGATTTTGGTGTTTTATGGATAGCTTATGCGTCACCGTTTTGAAACCCTAGGCCATCTCAGTGATGTGATTCTACTTAATTATCCGTATTTTCTTCAATTGGTGAATTTTGTGTAGTTTAATAAATGCGAATTTTCAACCTTAACTCATACACGGGGTTATTTTCTGGTTAGCTGGGGAACAACGCCCTTTTTTTTCGTTTTTGTTTTCCGATTTTTTGTTTGTTTCTATCAAATTGTAAACTAAAGTAATGACCTTTCTTCCCTTGAAATCAAACTCGCTCAGTAAGATGATATGTTTTTAATTGTATCAGAGAGTTGCTGATGTTATGTCTTTATTATTATTATTTTTTTAAATAGATATTGAAGTGTTACCGAATATATTGCAGAGGAAGTATGCACTATTATGAGGAAGTTTACAAGGTAAATGTCTCTTATTTAGGTTGGTTGTTGGAATTGCATCTCTAATTTCTCAGATACAGGTATAACCGTACATGTAATAATGTAATTAAGCCGTTTGCATCCCTTTTGTATTATTTGGGCAGTACTTCGATATTTTAACTGTTGAGTATTTGGGGTCTCTTTTTTTCTTGAAATTTATTTTAGTATATTCAAAGAGAAGAGAATGAAGGCCATAATTTTGAGTCGTGATCAATGAATTTATGCTTGACCGTTCCATGTAAATCAAATTGAAATTGGAGTAAGACAATAGGCAGATAGTGAATTAAAATTTGATTTGAGAAAAAATATGGTTCTTTCTGTTTTCTAGAACTATTGGCTTTTCGTTTGAGAACAATTGACAAAATTATTGGAATATATTTTTTTTTATGTAAAAAAGATTTCATTCTGATCTGAATGAAATAGTAAGAACTAATTTAGATTTCATTCTGGTTTGAAATTGAAGCTAATGAAGCCAAAGACATAATTTGACCAAGGGTTGTTTTTGTAAATTCAAGAATAATCAATCATAATCATTATAACCAAATATTAAATTTAAGTTATCAAGTATTAATAATCCTTCGTACCAAATGAGATATATTTTCTACTAAATAGTGGTGAACAGTGCAATAATAAATAATCAATCCTATGTTTGTAATCCCATCCTACCAACCAAAAGAGCCCTTAATATATTATCATCAATAAGTCTAGGGCTGCGTGGGGCTGGGTCGCGTAGGAAGAAACAGACGCAATTGAATTTAATAATTTAATACTCCTATTTACTGATTCTGAAAGGGAATACAAGCAAAAAGATCCGGTCAAATCCCATTTGGCATATTCCACTGTAGGCTGCTTCAGTTGGGTGCACTGAATCAAAAAACACATACTTGGAGGGATTTTTACACACACTTGATCTTGAATCACACATAAATGTTGTCTCCACTAGTCCACTCCCACAGCAGCCGCAATTCACATTCTCAAAACCTGCATAAACTAGTTTGTACTCGTTTTGAACAAAATGCAGTTTCTAATGTACCATAATCTGATAACGGGTACAAATTGGAGAGTATTCTACATAAATTAGAAGATTCCACTAAATTTGACACCGCAAATGTGGACGTGAAAGAAGATTCATAGTTGATGGATAGTTGTAATTACCTAAACATGAAGGGTTTTTTCGTAATTTGATTTTACCTCAGGGGGTTGGAAATAATTTACCCTTATAATTACTCAAACATTAGGGAGTTTTCGTAATTTGACATGACAAGTGGTTGTAATTTGCTAATAACTTAAGACTCAACTCACAAACTTTTAATAATACTATGTTTTAAAATTGGATTTATAGCAATAATAATTACTAATTATTAATAAATTAAAAGCTAAAAGTACTACTAACCAAATTGGGAGGGGGTTTGAATCATATCGTTCAACGGTTGATATATATCGGCATAATAAATAGCAGAGGAGCTAGAATTATCCATAGCCGTTAATTTGTTCTGAAGCTTCTGATTGTAATCCAAAGCAACGGTTGATAGAGAGTCAACGCAGCGGCGTTGACCATTTGCCTCGCCGGAGGTAACAGTGATGACAATCGGCATGCAGCCAATTGGCGGCAGCCAGGGGCGGACCCAGGGGGGTTTTTTTGGGGGGCTGAAATATAGGGGTAAGTTGAGAAATAATTTATTTTTTTGTTTTTAGGACTAAAGTGTACAAAATGAAAAGTTTGGGGGGGCGAAAAATCGAAAAAAATAATTATATCATATAAATCGAAAAAAATAGAAGAATTTTACTAGAAATATAGTGCATTTGTCATACTTGTATAAATTGTTGTACATTTTGCAATAAGAATTGCTGGTAAGTGGCAATATCGTAGTTTCTGCTTCGAAAAGGTGTGCCGAAATAGTTAACGACGAAGTCGTTCGTCCCGGCGCTTACGATAAACGCGGCCATGCTTATCAGAGTTTTCGTTCTTTCCTTACCAATGGCGGTCTCCAGTTTTCGTTTGTAGTCTTTGAAATATTCCAGTTGCTTCAGTATTGAAATCACTCCCTAAAAAAATTAAATAAAAGAAAATTGCACAAATTTATTAAATGCGCATGCAAATTAAATGTATAATTATTATAGCCTTGTTTCTTAATATGACAGTTAATTTTAAATGAAATGAGTTAAAATAAAATAATAAAAATAAAAATAAATATAATAATAATAATAATAATAATAATAAAAAAAATAATAATAATAATAATAATAATAATAATAATAATAATAATTCTTATATTCTTTCTTTATCCTCAATTCTTTCTTCTCTTCCTTAGTATAGAGTCGCCCGCGGCATGCAGCTGACCTGCCGTCGTTGAGAAAAACGGTAGACACCCCTCTTTTTTTTTTTTTTTCTTTTTTTTTTTC